CAAAGTGCCTAAATATACAGTTTAAAACAGGTTCTTTGCTATGTGGTCTGTAGACACAATACTGTTTCATCTCTTGAGTTAGGCATGTTTTTCTTGCTAGATCGATTCATAGGTTTGTGTTCTGTGGGTTAACATACAAAAATTAATTAATTAATTAAAAAAAATCCTCTGAAAATGCTCAGGTACAAGAACTGGACTACAATTGAGAGAGAAAAGCAGCCAATGTCCAAAGAAAAACGTTACATGAATGTCTGGCTACTTAGAGGCAAAATATAAATAAATGAGGCTCCAGACTTTTGCACAACACTGTGAATATCAGAAAGTTATATTTTCCCATTTTCCCCGTTAACTTAAATCCAGGTGTTATGGTGGCATTAGAGACTGAAAACAACTAAGTGAAACATGGATTCACTCTTTACTCAGCTGGGATGCTACTCTGCTACATGTGCTGCAAGCAATGCTTCGAGTGTTATAAACAATAAGATCCTATCTACTGGACAAACTACGGGTTAATGCCATGTATAAATTACTTAAAAAATATTTTTGTACACATATTCATTAAAAAACATATTGGCTAATATTAGCCTAACTAACTGATTTATGACTTAAGCTCTAATTGTTATATTTTCCAGTTTGATGCCTAAATGGCCATTTTGTGCTTTGTACGTACCCTTCAAAGTGTCTGATCACTTTAATGACCACAGTTTGAATCTGCACTTACAAGGTGAAGTTATGTCACAGAAGTGAGCATCTAGGGCAGAAAGAGGGATTTGGGGCTATTTTTTGTACATGTTGTTTCCAGCATATTCTAAGTCATGAAACGTTTTCTCAGAAAGCTTGACTCACACTCAGAAAGTCTGAATATCTGGACATCAGCAGCTTCGATTATGACCTTTTTTTTTTTTTATCAAGGTACAGCTCTGAATAAGTGGATCATCCCTTTAAAGGTGAAAGTGGAAAACGGACATTGCCATTGGGCTTGTAGATGGACTTGCTCAGCAGTACTCCACTAACAAAACTCTGCAACCACCAATTTATAATCAAACCCCAGTTTCCAGATATATTCCTGCAAACTGGTGATCTGCTGCATCAAGTTACAGAGTAATTTCCTCAGTTGGACCAATAAAATGCCCTTGCAGTCAGGAGTTACTCATCTAATCACCAGCTCAGTCAGCAGTTACTCAGCTACTGTAAAAATCTGAGTAAGTGTGGGTTTGTTCCATAATTTATTTAGGTCAGTAGTGACTTTTGACTCTTGTATTAGAGCCACTTGCTCTGCGCTCACTAAAGAAGACTGGCCTGATCTAAACATTTGCAGAAAATCGGCTCTGGTGTTGAGCTGAGGGTCCTCCCACAGAAACTCACAGGCTCTCATAAACAAGCAAAACCTACATGCACGGAGTTTATACAGAAAGGTAGATGCTGCATTTCGTGAAAACCAAATTGAATTCGCTAATTGCATTAAGCTAATTTAATTAATCAAATTAGATCAAACTTACTTTCAAATACTCGTTCTCTGATCTCAGATCTTCCAATTCCCTGACGAGGTCTTCGGTTGTTTCCCCCATCATAAGATTCATAAACGCCCCCGAGGAGTTGAACAAACTAAAGCCCCCTGCGGCAGCCTCCGCCTGGAGAACGCAGATATCTCTCGCCGCTTTTGCGCACGGTTTGCCGTCGCCTGCGCCCTCGCTATCCGGGGTCACGTAAGCTTTGCCGTCTATCCAGCTTAAGTCAGAGTCGTGCTTGTTACCGTCCGACGGGCAGTCAGAGATTTCCGAGCTGCTGTCCGAGGAGGACAGTTTCCCCGACAGGCAGCCGGAGTCTTTGCTCAAATCCTCCGAAGCGTTGCTGGCGTCGGAGAGTTTCCTCTGTGCGCCGGGGCTCCTCTGGCACTCGGAGCTGACACCTGATGACACTTTCCCTGCTCTCTTTTCCTGCGGTCCCGCAGTTTTTACCTCCTTCACAGGGTCGCACTGACCCGTGAATTGTGCCTCCTTTGAATAGGAGCCATCATTGGAGGATGGATCCTTCTTCTCTTGGTGCGCCCTGGCTTGTTTCTGGCTGCGGAGTGCAGTCTTCAGGCTCTTATCGCCGTCTTTGTTCGTCATTTTCTCTTTAGCTTTTAAACAGAAAATCTAAGATGATCATTACAGTTTTAAACTAGTGTTAAAATATCAAAATTCACAGCTCACAGACTCTGAACACCCGACTAGCTGCTCTGCATCCTCAGCACTGAAACTTTGCCAAAGCGCACTCACAGAAGAAGTCACAGTGTCACGTTACCGCAGCTTAGAACGGACTTCCGGTCGTTTTCTCTGCTTTTTCTTTTTTTCTCCATTTATCTTGGTCAGAGTACATATTATGTTTATTCTACACACACTCTCCCAGAACATTCAACTGTGGCTACAAACCAGCATGAATTTGAAAACAAATCCGATATTAAAAATGTTGTGTAGGCCTAGGATTATAAATGATTAAGTTTATTTTGTAAATTTCCATACAAAAGATACAATTTTAAGTGTTTGTTACCTCGTGTTTTCATATTGCTATCATACTGTTATCATCCCATACGCCTGATGTAGAGAGGCAGTTTGGAGGCTTTTATTTTGACGGTTTTCCGGTCTCTTTGATTCTTAAGCAGTTTTTTCCACTTTCTCCTTCTGGAAATCTGACAAGCAATTAACCCAACTAACCGACTACTACTATGAATAAATTATCTTAATTCCCAGTTACATTTTTTTATCCGCCTCTAACAAACTACATTTGCATGTTTTAGCTCATAATAATCTTTTTATATATACCAGGTCTTTTTGCAGCTCCTCACTGATGCTCTATTCGCATCAATTCAGTTCAGCTCATCTGCTTTTCAGCCAGCTTTCTTCTGATTGGCTGCACCTTGCATGCCATACACAGGGTTAGAACAGTAGGTGGTGCTGCTGTAATAAAAAAAAAAAAAGAAAAGAAAAAGAAAACAGAGCAAGGAGTAGAAAAAAAATGCCTGAAATAGAGCATTTAGCTCAGATGAAGCCTGAGTTTTGTGGCTCACAAGGATTGCTTGTACCTCATTATTTTAAACCTTGCTTAGCATTTCATCTTCCATTGTATATATTACAGAAAATAAGTTCAAACATTACAGGTCTCCCCTTTAAAAGGGTGTTTGCACAATTCCCCTCTGTGTAGTGTTGCTCTAATTTAATACGTATTTAGTTTTAAACTGAAATTTATTTTTGAAATATTGACCAGTGTCTGCAAAAATAAAATAAAAAATTAGCAGAATGAATAAAGCAAGAGGGATGTTTGTGTAAAGCTGCCACCTTGTGGATAATGGAGCTGTGTTTGAAAGGACCACAGGCAGGTCTTTGTGGTTTGTAACGGACATGAGATGTTTCCTCTTCCAGCTAACAACAACCTAAATCTTCATCGGGCAGCTATTATGCTATTAAACAGCTGTTATAATAACCAAACTGTTTTGAAGGGAGGAAGGTTCAGGGCTGAAGCAATCAGCTTCATGGGCTCATCCGGTTAGAATAAGAAAAGCAGCCATCTAATGCAGAATTAGTTTCAGGGTACTCCTTTTATTCTCAAATAAATAAGGCAAAAAAGGAAGGAAACAAAGACACACATGGACTGCCAATGCTCAGCTGCTGCCCCGTGTGGAAGTGCGGAAAGAGTGAGCCAAAAGTGAATGCAGTCCTTATATACTGTGTGACATATAATGTGTGACAGGTGAGTGCAATCAAGGACAAGCACCACACCCAATCAAAGGTGAGAGAACTAAACAAGGTGCATCTGGTGAAGTGAGTGGGTGTGCTGGGATGTGCTAAAAGGTGGGTCTCTACAACAGCCGCCCCCATATTTCTAGTGAGAAATATGTTGATATGATCAGGATCAGTCTTCGTCAGGAAGCGAGGGCAGGGGGATCAGACAGGAGACAGGGCGGATATAGGTTTTATCCTGTACTAAGACCTCCACAGTTCTGATGTGGTCATCTGGGCTTTTCAGCAAGCGCGTCACTCTTCCTACAGGCCAAAGGGCTCGTGGAAGGTGTGAATCCATAATCATGACGACAGAGTTCAATGTGAGATCTGGTTTTTCCTTCTGCCATTTGGGTCTTCTTTGGAGTGATGGTAGATAGTCTCTTATGAAGTGTCGCCAGAAGTGATCTGCCAATATTTGTGCATGTCGCCATCGTCGTCGGCCTAGGAGGTCAGAATCAGAATAGGATACCAGGGGGAGTGATGAATCATGTCGGCCCATAAGGAGAAGGTTTGGGGTTACGGGGTCAATGTCCGCAATGTCTGAGGATACATAGCCTAGGGGATTTGAGTTAAGAATGCCTTCAACCTCAATTAGGACTGTTCTTAAGACCTCTTCAGTGACCAGTTGGGCACCAATGGTTCTCTTCAGAGCATTCTTCACAGAACGTATCTCCCTCTCCCAGGCTCCGCCGAAATGGGGTGCATGTGGGGGGTTGAATTTGGAATGGATTCTTTTAGTCATTAGGACCAGCTGCAGAGTCGGAGCAAGGTTGTTAAAAGCTGCCCGTAGTTCCTTATCTCCTCCTTTGAAGTTAGTTCCTTGATCACATATAATTTCCAGGGGTGTTCCTCGTCGAGAAATGAATCGTTGGAGGGCCATGAGGAAGGAGTCTGTATCCATGCTGTTTAGGAGGTCAAGTCTCAAATATGCGACAGCACCATATGCTCGCTCTGAAGCGTCACAGAAGATATGAATGTCTCGAACTGTGGTAGAAACATCCATTTCCTTAGAAGTATAGCAACGTGGGATCGCAATTTGTGGGAGATAACAAAGTTCTTCTTCCCAGGACTTCCATGCCTCTAAGAGGTCGTGTGGAAGGGAAGGGTCGTCCCAGTCTCTCTCTTTTCTCCATAGCTCTTGCACCAAGGTTTTGGCGCGTGTTGTGAATGGGAGTAAGTAGCCTAATGGATCATACAGACGAGCAAGTACTGCATAGATACGACGCATTGTGGTGGGGTGTGAGGCTAGAGTTCTGTATTTATAGGCAAACAAATCAGTCTCACAATTCCACAATAATCCTAATGTGCGTTCATGTGGGCCAGATGGCTTGTCTTCAGTCAGGCAAAGTTCATTACTTGCCGTTCTTACCTCAGATGGTAGATGGCTAATCACAACAGGATTATTGCTGGCCCACTGGCGAAGGTCGAAGCCTCCTTCTGATAGATGGTTTCTTAATTTGTCTAGGAGTGTTCGAGCTAACTCTGCTGATGGAAAACTCTGCAAGCAGTTATCAACATAGAAACACTGCATTACTGAAGACTGCACATCTTTGTCAGATTGATATTCCTTCACATGTTTCTGCAGTGCATAGATTGCACAACAAGGGCTGCAGGTCGTACCAAAGGGGAGTACCTGCCACTCATACACTGAAGGGGGAGCTGCTTTGTTCATGTCACGCCACAGGAATCGGAGGAGTGGTTTATCAGGAGGCAGAAGATGGACTTGGTGAAACATGCCTTTGATGTCGCCACTTATTGCTACTGAATGTTGCCTAAAACGCAACAAAACACCAAGAAGTGTTGGGCCTAGGATTGGTCCTGGCAATAGGTACTTATTGAGACACTGACCTTGAAATGTGAAAGAGCAGTCAAAGACTATGCGATCTTTATTGTTGTGACTTGTCATATGATGAGGGATATACCAGGTTTCTTTGCTATTGTGCATCTCCTCTGGGCTAAGTTTGACAATATAGCCTGCTTGCTCCAATTTCAAAATCTGATCCTTGTAAGACATGGCTTTGCCAGGATCTTTAGCTAACCGAGCCTCAGTGTTGCGGAGTCTAGACATGACTACATTTGGAGGGACATTCAAAGGAGGAAAGTTTGCCATCCGAAGAAGAGGAGTGGCGTAGCGATTAACACCATTGATCTCAACCCTTTTTGTGGCCTGTTCAAGGAGTTCCAGTGCCAGTTGATCTTGCTTTGATCGGATCACAGATTTCTCACTGTATTCAGGTAAAGTGTCTAGTTGCCATAGCTTCTCAACATGATAACGCAGTACATCTGCAGGTGAACTGAGAGATGTGAACAAACACTGCACGTGCTCTGTACTGCTCTGGGGATGAAAATCTGTGATCGGACCATGAAGTGTCCATCCTAATTGGGTTTTAACTCCTGCAGGAGACCCATATGGTCCCTGTCTCAATGGAGCAGTAGGCGTGATGAGGTGAGTATGATCTGAGCCTATGAGCAGGAGTGGCGCTGCTTTATTAATAATGGGTAATGGGATACCTTGAAGATGCTTGTATCTCCGTTGGAGAGATGATACAGGGTAGGTGTGGTCTGAAAGTGCTAGGTGATTTGCAGTGAAGGCATTAGTAATTGTGTAGGTTTTCTCTGGGTGTGCGATGGGTGAGATTTTGAAACTTACGGAAGAACCATGAATGGTTTCAACTTCTTGACGGACCGTTCTAAGTGATAATCTCTCTGCTTCCCCAGTTAGGTTGAGATGCTGTGCAGCTGATGTCAGAAGAATGGTACGCTGGGAGCCATCGTCAAGTACTGCATATGTTTCAAGGGTTCTTTTGCCATTTCGCAGGAGCACTTTCACGACCTTTAAAAGGACACTAGGACAATCACTAGGTCTATCAAAGTATAGCGTCCTCACTACAGGATGAGTGTCAGTTTTAGATCTCTTATTTACATCGCATAGGATCTGGAGATGTAGTCCCATACAGGTGGCACATGCTTTCTTCAGGTCACACTTTGCGGCCTGATGATTCCTAGCACAACGCCAACACCGTTTGTTTACTTTTATCCAGTTTGTTTTCTCATCCTTTGTCTTCTGAATAAACCCAGGACACTTACTAATGTGCTGTTCTGGTGAGCAGCAATATGCACATGTAGCCTTAGTTGTCATGATCGGCTGTGTTGCATGTACAGAATCATCAGATGTATTTGCTTCATGTAATATTGTTGTAAGTGGAGAAGCGTACTTACGGGCAGGTCGTGTCTGGTTGAAGGATGGAACAGGACTGGCCTTCTTTGGTTGACACCTGCATTCCATTTGCAACCAGGATGAGAACAAAGGCAAGGTATACGTCATTTCTCCCTGTTCCCTGTAAACATGCCGTTTGAAGCGACTGAAATGCTCTGCAGGCAACTTCACTAACAAGCGATCGACATGGGAGCCACAGTCTAGTTCTGCACGTCCTTGTTCTCCCATAGTGCTAAGCAACCCAACTAAAGCCTGTACTCGAAGAGCAAAATTATCAAGGCTCTGACCATCACCTGCTCTGATAGGAGGCAGTTCCAGTATATTCTTTAGCTCTTTCAATGCCAGCTGTCTTGGTTGCCCATAACGCTCATCAAGGGCTTTGATGGCTTGAGTGTATGGGTCAGGAGCGTAGGAAAAGGCAAGAGCTAATCGTTTAGCTTGGTCTACTTTGAGGTGATCAAGAAGGACATGATATTTGAAGTGCTCTGTCTCATGAGGATCAAGAAGGTTTGTAAGGGCCATCCGTAACATCCTGTATTGCATTTCGTCTTCTCTACTAAGGTCTGGAAATGAAGGACCTTCAAGCTTATATACATGTGTTCTCGTGCTAGAGGAGTGACCCGAGCTAGCAGTACCAGATATCAAAGGTTTCTGTTCATATGAGGTATTGGATGTAGCTGGTTGCTGCTCTAGAGGAGGGCAATGCTTGTGGTCAGATATGCGAATGAGAAGTTGAACAGGGTCTTCAGCTAAAGGAACAGCAGGTTGAACACATGAGATCTGGTCGGGATCCTGCCGTGATAAGGCCAGGAAATCAAAGGGAGTCTCATCTTCTGTAGCAAGGACTGGTCTAGGCAAACCAGTTGAAGGGATAGCAGCATCTAGTATTGTTGAATTAGGTAAAGGAGGGCTGGCAGCTGTAACTAAGCCAGACTGACGGCTAATCTGCGGGGGCTGGAAGGGTGATTGACAGGTTACTGTATCAATCACTGGGAGCTGCTCAGGTTGTTGATGTGTTTGAAGACTGGCTCGTATACTGCATACAGAAGCTTTGATTCCCTCAGATGAGACTGTGCGAATGGAAGATCTGGAGCTACAAGAATGGGAAGGAGATGATTGAATCATAAATTGCTTAATCTCCCTCATGGTCGTTAGGAGTTCCCTCATGACCTCATCTTGGGTGGTGGGTAAAGGAACAAGGGATGTCTCTGGTGGTCTTTCTGACTCTCCGACAGGATCCTGCAGCCCATGTGTGTCTTTATCACTGTGCTGACATTCAGTTTGGCTCTCTGTCTCACATGTAGCTCTTCTAGCTCCAGGGTACTGAACTTCATACTGTTGCAGGTAGGCAGGAGGTCTACTATCACAACTGGATTTTCTAGATGGCTGCTGTGTATCCATGATGCTAATACCTCTCCGGCTCGGAGGACCATGTTTTGAAGGGAGGAAGGTTCAGGGCTGAAGCAATCAGCTTCATGGGCTCATCCGGTTAGAATAAGAAAAGCAGCCATCTAATGCAGAATTAGTTTCAGGGTACTCCTTTTATTCTCAAATAAATAAGGCAAAAAAGGAAGGAAACAAAGACACACATGGACTGCCAATGCTCAGCTGCCGCCCCGTGTGGAAGTGCGGAAAGAGTGAGCCAAAAGTGAATGCAGTCCTTATATACTGTGTGACATATAATGTGTGACAGGTGAGTGCAATCAAGGACAAGCACCACACCCAATCAAAGGTGAGAGAACTAAACAAGGTGCATCTGGTGAAGTGAGTGGGTGTGCTGGGATGTGCTAAAAGGTGGGTCTCTACAACACAAACAGTCGGGTTCCTCCCCCATCGTCCTTCCACACCTCAGTCACACCTTTGCTCTCTGGATACAGGAGTGGATGAGTGGAGATGCACAGGGTGATGTCCATGAAGACACCCATCACGGAACAGGCACAAAAAAGAAATGGCTCTTAAGATAATGTTGATAATGCTTCCATTGAGTCAAGTGTCAAAACCACCTGCTTTTCAGCTGACTACATAAGCGGCTCTTTTTCTGCCACATTTTTCAGTGATAGCGTTAATGGGTTATGAATCATTTACTAGTGCTTTATGAACCATTATAAGAACATCTGGGTTGTCAGGTTGTGAAAAATAACATTTTTCTTTTTTTAATCTTCAGTGTTCAGAAAGAGCTGATCTTCTAAGGAGCTTGTGAAGAAAGCAACTGGACTTCTTTAAATTACTTTTAGATGTTTCACTTCTTATCCAAGCATTCAAGAGGCTTCTTGGTGCACTGCAATCCATTTACAACAATTTTTATAATAATGACTTAACATGGAGAACCCTCTTGGATGAGAGGTGAAATTTCCTCAAGAATTCAGTCCAAGCTCCTTAGACTACAATGAACTGGATGGCTGAGAAGCTACACAGACAAACTGATCTTACTTTCTGCACAAACGCTACAGTGCATCTGCACCACAATGCATTTGCACCACAATGCATTTACAACAATTTATTGTAATAATGACTTAACATTTATGTGCACTTAAAGGCTTATTAAAGAGAATGAACCCTTTGCCATTTATTGATGGGCTTCTGTACTGCCTCACTGCATTTTATCATCTCAACATGAATCAATTAAATATCTTAGTGGGTGCTTTATAAGAAATTCAATGGCATGTGGAAATGTAGGCTTTATATCACAGGGCTGACACAATTAAACCATATTCCTTAATGATTTGGTTGAATTAATATCGATTTATAGTCTAATTATTGGATAAAATGTAATATTTCAGCAATTGAAAAATAAAAACTAGCACTTAGTTTGTAGCACAAAATAACACTGATTTTCCTTTTTCCTGCTAAAAAAATTCAGGCAAGGAAGCTTAAAAGAAAATTAAAAGAAAACCTAAAAGAAAATTCCACAATGTTAAAAACAAATAAAAACAAAAGAAACCTCTAGAATTTTTAAACAACCCGTTGATATTTCATCTTTCGATATATTTTTTTTAACCTGCACTTCAATGTTACACTATAATAAACCACCCATCCATCATTCCAACCACACAAAATGTACATGAACTAAGATTGCCTCAGGATGTTACCACAAACTCATCAATCCATTATTTATCTCCATGTCAGGGGTGAATTTGCACCTGTATTAAAAGCTAAAGATCGTACAAAATGCACAAATTAAGGTACAGTTTAATAATGCAGCCTAATAATTTGCATGCATATAAACAACTGCAGATTTATTTAAATATTTAGTAAGTCTTGGTCATTTTAAACTCGCGATTACAAACCCTTTAGCTTCTATGTGCGCCTGTGTTACTGGTATAAATAAAATAAAATAATAAACTTATAATAATCACTTAAAACATATTAATATTAATATTTAAAGAGTCTGGTCCATCCAGCCTGAGCTCAGTGTTGCCTTTTTTAATGTCACATTATTGGTTATGTGCAAAAATAGCCTTTGGACCCCACGTTTGCTCTTTGCCCTTTATTTTCTGGACCTCTGCATCCTGCGCTCTGATTGGCTGACGACCCTGCCAATCGTGGTGTCCTTGCTGCCCACTTCCGCCTACTTCCAGAGGCACCACAGTGCTCGGTTGTTTATTTTACCGGAGCATTAATTTTACCTGAACTCACAGGTATATGTGACTGAGCTGTGTTTAAATGTCCGTGCCAGTGTCGGCTGTGGTTTGTTGTTGACTGTGTTGATGTTGTTACATCGTTTTTTGCTCAGCGGACATTTACACCATCTGCAGCAGCGATGCTAAGGGCTCGTTAGCTAGTCTTAAAGCTAACTAATGGCTTTTTTAGAGGAGCACGGCGACTGACAGCCAGAGAGGAAGCTGTTTTTGTTTTGATTACATTACTCATGCGCTTGGTGTTGACGCTGCCGGTGTCGTTGTAGGTGGTGGGTGCTGCTGTCTGTGATGCTCGGAGGGAGGCTGGACTCCAGGGACAGGCCAACGGTGGAAACATGACTTCTGAGTAACCTGCAGCTACTTTGTCTGCTCAGTATGAACAGCGAGGAGGAGTTTTTCGACGCTGAGACAGGTGAGACATGTCGACGAAGGCCCAAATTAGTTAATTATATATAGTTATTTCCTGTATACTTACTTTGTTTCCTCCTCCTACTCCCGCTCTTGCTCATCATCCCCAGGGTTGGAGTCAGATGATTCCTGCGAGGTCAGCTTTAAAGATGCCACACAGGAGAATGGAGTGTGGGAGCGCAGGTGAGGGGCCGTGCACACGCGGGGAATAATTACGGAAAAACATAATCACTTCATTGACGCAGAGCTGTTCTGAGTGATCACCTCGATCCTCTGAAAGGTTAAAGCAGGAGTGATGGAGAGATTGATAAAGGAGTCTCCCTGATGCTATGATGTTTGCAGATGATATTGTGATCTGTAGTGAGGGTGGAAGCAGGTGGAAAAGAACCTGGAGAGGTGGAGGTATGCTTTAGAGAAAAGAGTAGTGAAATTTAGTGAGGCTGCAAGGAGCAAACAGAGTGAAGGTGCACAAGTACCTGGGGTCAACCATTTAAAGCAATGGGCAGTGCATAAGAGAGGTGAAAAGGAGTTTGTAGGTAGTTAGGAGAGGAGACAAGTGTTGGGGTGATTTATGACAGAAGGATAGCAGCAAGAGTGAAAGGGTTGGTGTGTGAGAGGAGGGTGCTAGAGATAGAGTAAGATGGAGACAGATGATCTATCATGAGTTCTGAACTTAGAGATGTGTGGTGAAGAGTGTCCCGTGCTCCTGCATCACTGTGGGATGTCATGCTTTGTGGTAGAGAGGAAGGCTCTGCAGAGGGTGGTGAAAGCTCCACAGAGCATTGTTGGCAGCATCCCCCAGACCACCGTCACCACAAACATCTACACTAGCAGCAAAAGGGCCTCTCTGTCTTGAAAGACCCTACTTACCCAGGAAACAGACTGTTTGTCCCACTCCCCTCTCCCCTCAGGCTGGATGTTGCGGAGCATCAATTGCAGAACCACCAGACTGAGGAACAGCTTCTTCTTCAGGCTGCAAGACGGTTGAACTCTGGTGGTGCTCTGTAGTCTCTGCTGCTCCCAGCCAGAGGAAACAGACATGTGAAGCCACTTGTCTTTCCACTGCACACAATTTGATTATTTTTAGAAAATGGTCTTATTTGTACTGACACTGTATATACTTTTTCTTTTCCCTTTTTCCTGTATTGCTCTTTTGTGTTCTCTTGGCTTTTACACGGAACCTAGGTGCACAATTTTGTTTCACCTCATGTGAATACATGTGTTAGAATGACATTGAACACCTTGGAATCCTTGAATATATATACACATTTAGTAATTTTCAAAAGGAAAAAAGAGAAAACCAAGATTCCAAGGTTTGCGTGTATTCACAGACTATAACAAGGTGAACTATAACGTGCATCCATCTCCTTATCAGACACTTTTTACACAGTCAAATAAATGTTATTGCTGCCTGTTCAGATACTGTGCTCTTTCACAGTAGGCAAAGTCTCTCGCTGAATGGATGCTTGGTTTCCTCTTGCCTCTTTAAATTGCTTGCCACCATGTTAGCATTAGTTGTTCTCTATTAATAACACACTCGAGCTGAAGGCTGTTGACATCCTGAGTCCAGCTGAAGCCACGACATCGGTGGTTTAATTTGCCTGTTTTCTTTTTCTTTAGGTGGTAAAAGTGATCAGTTTCACTTCCTCCGAAATTCTCTTCCCCTCACTATTAGTTAGGGCTGTTGATATGTACTAATATAGTAAATTTAAATGTCATTCACTATTTTTTTTGTGTATTTACAATATTAATGTTTGGGTGCACGATTTGGGAGCTACTTTGTATTAAAACACTCATTAAATCAGAAAACGAGGGGATATTATTTGAAAGAATAGTGTTGCATCTCTAAATTAAACCAATACTCATATATGACCTGCCAGTTGTGTATTACATATTCCATGTAATGCATGTCAGTACCAATGTCCACTAATGTTATAT